ATTTTTCCTGCAACATCTGTGTAAGCACGCTGTATAAGTTTACTAGCTATTCGGTTGCATGTACTTTTGTTTTTGAAGATAAAATTTAGCAAAAATATAATCCAATAAAATGTTAACTGAAAAATTTCCTTATGAAATCAAGAGATATACTAAAAAAAAAATAATTTGAATTTTTGTACCCAAATAAGTTTATACAACCACCAAGTGGTTTTCTAAGAATACTACTACAAAACTTCAGTTCCCTCTGAAAAGTCCTATCTTTAGAATAAAGATGCTTTCATGGTACAATTTTTCTAAAAAGGCAATTTAAAAATACTTGATCCAGTTTTTCTGCTCTAGGGCTATTCCCTAAGGAAATAAACATGGATATATATAAAAATTTAGCTACAAAATGTTCACACTATCAAAAAAATAGAAATAAAAATAAACACCTTCTCAAATGGCAGATGAGTTCAACAAATCTTAATATATCCACATTATAAAATCATAAGTATATCTGACAAAATAGAAAATCAAAGTGAAAAATTAGGTTACCAAGTAGTATGTGTGATATAATATGCACTGAAAAAAAGACAAAGAATCTTTATATTATTTATAGAAAATGAGTTTATGAGCAAATTTTCCCTTTTTCTTGTTTATCTCTATTTTCTGAAGTTACCTGTAGTTTTAAAAGTTGTAAAAATTTTATAATAAGAAAATGAAATGTTATTAGAACAGATCAAATATCAACAATATATTTTAGCAAGATGGACTGGTGAAAAACATGCACAGGCAAACAACTGTATGATAGAAAAGCAAATTAACAAATTGACATGGGAAAAATATTAATAAAAGTTTTACAGTCACTATAATAAAGAATGTGAAACATGCTTCCTACTTTTCCTGAAAAATGAAACTCTAAATGTTATGATTTATTTTCCTTTCAAGTACGAGCATTTTGTCAAACTTCAGTATCTTGCATCTATTATATGGTAGGCACTATGCAAATTATAAGGGATACAAAGTAAAGGCAATACTACTAACAAAGGAGAGACTAAGAAACTAGGTTATCTTTTCCTTTGCTACTGTGGAAGTTTAACTTTGGTGGTTAAATCACTGGCCAAGATATTGGGTTTGCTCTTCAAGTGGATTTGTTAGTATTTGTCACACTCCCTAATCTGCTTTTACACAGCGACCTTTGGTCATAGAGGATATCAAGTGAGGAATTCAAACCGGGTGAGGAGTGTTCTAAACAGACTTCTGGACCTCAAAATACATTATTATATTCATCTTCTCAGACCTTCAATTCTGTGCTTCATACAATAAAGAGAAAATTATTTTTAAATTTCTAAATTAGTTATACCTTTCCCTCAGATGTGTTCCCTCTTTTACCACTTCTGGATCTCTCTTGCTGATATGTAGTAAAATATCCAATGTAGTTATTTTCTCCAATAAACCAATATAACAATTACACTGAAAAAGATCTGGAATACGTTAATCCTACTAATTGCAATGGCTTCAAAATCTTTCTTTCAAGTGTCCTTTTCTCTTGACTACAACTCACAGCAGCACTCCAAATGAACAACTCAGACGCAGGGACTTACCAGTGCTTTACTGTCCTGGGTCCTGCCTTCTGTGTCACTCATGACTCCTCCTCTTTAAGCAAGAGAGACTCCAAGGCCCAGCACTGTAATAACTCCCTATCCCTTTACCCATTAAAACCCCACCCAAGTTAAAATAAAAACTGTAGGACATCATGCTACACTCAAGATCTGAATCTTGCTTAAAGGTATCACGCAACTTTCCTGACAAGTTTCACCTTTAAATCATTACCCTAATTCTCATACAGACATGGTAAGACAAGTCCTCTATCAAACAAATGCTAATGGTAAAAATTTCAATTCATCCTATGAAAGAGTAAGGCTTTCAATTCTCTGTTTGAAACAGAAAAGACATAGAAGAATTTGAATAAATAAGAGTATAAGAGTTCATCTAAAAAGAATAAGATTTTAACATTTCCATTCAGAACTATACGACAGTAATTAAAAAGTTTATGTTTATAATGATTATGACATAAAAATTATAATGATTACCACTTGGGCCAGAAAGCTTGAAAAATATGTAAATTAAAATAATTAAAATAAACAAGAACTGCTTCTCCATAAAAACATAATAAATGCAGTGATAGATAATATATTACAGTGAGAGATATTTATAAATGAAGATATGCTGCTAAATATTACCAAGTAATGATTTCTTTATATTTTATTATATAAAAAGGCAGTGAGCAAAGAAAAGAGGAAGAAGGAGTGAATGGCAAGCAATATTTAATTAGGCTCTATGTGTTTATTTTTAGTTAACTTAAAGTATAAATGATAAGCCTGGCCAGGCATGGCTCAGGGGTTTAACATCGACCTAGGATCCAGGAGATCACGGTTCGATTCCCGGTCAGGGTACGTGCCTGGGTTGCGGGATCATCCCCAGTTAGCAGCGTGCAGGAGGCAGCTGATCAATGACGACTCTCCCATTATTGATGTTTCTATCTCTCTCTCTCCCTCTCCCTTCCTCTCTCTGAAATCAATAAAGATATATTTTTAAAAAATTAAATAAATGATAAAAAATCAAATGTTTGACTTTATATTAAAATTATTTCCAAGCACATAAAAATAGTTTTGGCTATCTCTTCAATATAATATACCAAATGATCCAAGACTGAATACACTTGGTAGAGAATAAAATGGTAATAACAGTTGCTCATCTTAAAAGTTTAAGGACTTTTTCCAACTCTAATCTGAAGATAAATGTCAAATCTCCACATCTACACAGGATGAAATCACTTGTGGCAGAACAATGCTCCAGCTAAGGATAAGAAAAGCCAGATAAATTAAAACATTATCTGGCCCTGGCCGGTGGTCTCAATGGTTAGAGCTTCATTCAGCCCACGGACCCAAGGGTCTTGGGTTCGATTCCCATCAAGGGCGGACACTTGGTTTGTAGGTTCAATTCCCGACCCTGGTCGGCCTGAGTTTTAAAGACTGAAGGCATGGGCCAAGGCAGAGAAAACCAGCTTTGATCACACAGAGGGCTCCTGTGGGAGGACAGAGAAATTATCTAAGTTTTTGGCAGTAACACTGGACTGAAGTGACAAAGCTGGAGATTTGAGAACTTTTTACACCTCAAATCATTTGCTAAACCCAAACCTTGAAGTAAAAAAGCTAAGTCCTAAAACCTGAAAAGAATGATGGCGTTTTCCACAATTTTCCAATGCTGAGGAGACAAAAACTAGAATATAGGATCTGCCAGGAATAGCGAGTACACAGTTCTCAGTGTGGGAAGGAAACAATTGCTGGGGAGGACCTCAAGTAGACCAAGACTTACCGAAACATCCACCATGGGAGAATCCGTGGGAGATACCAGTGCACTTTAGACAGTGATAGAAATGAGCTAACGAGAAACATTTTATGAAGTAGGAGAGAAAAGGGATAATTGCTTAGGTGATACCCTTAAGCAGGCAAGAAAAGATGTGAACTAGTGCAGAAATAGAGGTGGCCCTTAGACAGATGCACGTAGTAAAAAAAGGACATAAATTAGAAAAGTCAGAGCTATGAGTCCAAATGCAGGTAAGCTGGTAGATGGAATGGTGGGGACAAGCAGTTCTTTTTTCCATTTGGTAGGAGAGGGTAGACATCTGAGAAGAAGAGAGAAGAGATAAAATGGGCTCTAGGGTGAAGAATGAATGGACTAACAGAAAGCGAGAAGACTGTCTGGTAACACCAAGGGCCTGCTTGAAGAAAGTGGTCATAAATTTAAGGGAAGCTCATTTGGAAAATTTCTGTGATACTGTCCTGCCATATAAATCTGTGAAGATGTAGAACAGGCAGAGTTAAATTTATAAGGCTTAGGTTTTGCTGGGTGAGTAGGACAAAGGGAGAGAGGGCCAAGAGAACTAAGGTCATGTTGTATTAAGGTTGGTGATAATTATACCGAATTATATATGAAACCTGAGCTAAAGAGGAAAGTAAGAGCATAATAGGCTTGAGGGACAGGAAAGCAGATGGGAGAAGATCCATAGAAATAGGTGCCAGTGAAGTTGAAAATGTACTACAGTCCGAGTTCTAGGATAAGTGATCTGGAAAGAGAGTGAGTGGTGGTCAGAAAGTGGGAAGTTTGAAATTGAGACTGGTAATGACCAAGGATAGGATGTGATCGTAGGGTGGATGGCAGAAGTAGTGTAGAAGACATGATGTTTGGAGGAGAAAAATTCAAGATAAGAGGCCAGGATATTGAAAAATCATTTACGTAGATATTTAAATCATCAAGAATTATGACAGAAGTAGGCTGAAAAGAGACAGTGAGAGAGATCCTAAAATCTTTAAGCAATGAGGGACACGACATAGGAGTGTGTACATGAGTGCAACAGGAGTATGTACTGGGTGGTAAAACGCATGAACCTTAGAGACAGAGGTGTTTAGAGAGGAAAACGAAACAGTGACCTAAAAACACCAACGAGGAACAAGCCTCAGCGTCCACTGGAATAGCTGCCTGGGAGGGACACAATTCCTGCTTGAGAGGACTGCAGTGGAAGCAGGACCTCAGGATGGTGATCAGGTTTCAGTTAGAGCAAGAGGGTGTAAGTAATGTTCAGAAAAGAATACACTGACAATTTGATTCATTTATCAATATTTACTAAAAGGCATTGAATTAGGCACTGGGCATAAAAGAATAATAAAGATATAATCTCAGCCCCCACAAAACTACGACTCAAATAAGTCTCATGTTCGAGTGATTACATTAAAGAACATAGTTAAATTTTTATAACGAGCTAACAGCTTATTAAGAAATGAGGATGCATGTATTTGAAGAATGATATAATAGAAGCTGTGATTATTTTAATGTATCTACCACTGTGATATTAATTATATGGCAATAACTGATTTAAGAATATGTGGGGGGAAGTAACCTTTTAACAATAAAGGCAGGGGCAATGGTAAGTCTGTGCTTTCACAGATACATGCAGTTACCTGAGACAAAGCAGCGTCGCGCTCTTCTATCACTGCATTCATTTCTTCTGCAGTTATTCTCTCTTTACATGCCTTGGTCTTGCAGATTCTATCCACAATTATAGCTCCAATCTTCTCAATAGCTATCCCTGTGTCTGCATTGTTTATTCTGTTCAGTAATTCCTGTAATGTCTACCAACACCATCATATGTTAGTCAGACATGAAGTTTTAATATATTTTATTTAATATAGGGTTTTAATTAATAGGCACATGTGAATTGTAAATTGACTGAGTGAAGTTATTGAATTTTCATATTGCAGCAAAGATGTACATTATTAGTGTGTCAATTCTTCTTTTCCCCACATCTTAGTTCTTGAAACCCACTCAATTGAACTTAAGCCTCTAAGATATAAGACTGACATCAAGAAATCTCCTCAGAGAATGGCTTACCATGTCATTTTCTTCAGGGTTAATATTTTCTAGCCTAGAAAAAAGGGACACAGAAAGCCTGATCAGTAGCATTTCCTTAGTGCAGCAAAATGAGTTCGCTTTTTAAATCTTTAGAACCTCAAGTAATTTCATTCGACTAGTCTTTAGAGTCAACCATGACACTGAACATATTAAAGTGCCACCTGCTCGACTCCATCTTTCAATAATGCTCCATATCTTCTGCACTGACTTCAGACTGTTAAGTTATTAATGTTTACTGCTATATATGACTACAAGGATCAATTGTTCATATGTGCTCAGATGAAGAAAGTTCCCCAGTGATAGGAGCATTCATTCTCATCATTACATTTATTCGTGGACTTTCACTTCTTACCAGAAACTGTAATTCCTCTGTTTTTTGGACATCATCACAAATAAAAGCAAGTATTTTTATTACAAATTTTAACTATGTTACCTCCAAAGCAATGACAAATAATTACCAGTAAATTTGACTTGAAAATCTCCCACTGCTACCTATTTGTTAACAGAAGTATATAGAAAGGCTGACCAAAACTGAATGACATTTTTTAGAAGACTAATATTATTTTCTTTTTCATTACATATATAGAATTATTCAATTAGGGACAAAGAAAGCAAACTGGGTCCCCTCAAAAATTCACATTGTCGTAAAAGAATCACAGTGCTTACAGAAATGACTGTTGATTTGGGACTGAAGAAATGCAGTAAAAGGGAAAAAAAGTCTAAATGACATATCTTAGAAAATGTCTATAATATAATTTAGGCCACCACTAAGTTTGGTAAATGAAATGAAAATCTGTAACGAGTATTAGTAAAATGATGTAGATTTAAAAAAATGGCCTCAATTATTTTAAAATTCTACTAGAAGGTTTAGATATCCAAGTTCCTGGTTTTTCAAGCCCCCCGCTCCCAATTCCTGTGCTCCTACTTACCACAAAAAAAAAAAAAAAAAGGCTACTAGAAAAAGATAATGGAAGACACCTAATAAATTTGTTACAAAATTATTCCAAACTCTACAGTTCAATAAAATAGCTACATTGATGGAAAGTACAAATTTTGGAACACTGAATCTTAACAGAAAAAAAAAAAAGAAAAGAAAAAACTTTCTACACATATTTAAGCAGTATAAGTTAACAGGAAAATACAGTAATTTTGAATTATATAAACTTATCGTATCTCAAACTACTGTCTTCTTGGATTCACATTTTAACAAGGGTAAACATTCTCATGTTTTCTCTTTTTTCTCCTAAAATAAATGAACAGTTTCCAAATACCTTGTTTCATAAAAGCTTTTTCTACAAGAACTGTGAAGATGATCACTTATTTTTCACTCAATTAAAAAGCACAGTGGAAAAGTGTAAGATAACAGAAGTCTTACAGTTATTTATGGTCATGTAAAAGCATCTGAAGAACACCAGTGGCATGCAACCATCAGTTATTGATTGGGTAAATATGATTTAAAAAGGAAGCCAGGAGGGTGAAGATGGCGGCCCTCGCTCCCAGCCATGGACTTGATTTACGCCTAAAATCCTACGCAGCCAGCTTGGAAAAACCAGAGAAACATACCTGAGTGGACAGAATGCGAGTGGGGAGCACTGAAGAAACATCACGGAGTCTGGTAAGAGAGGGGGGCCTAGGAGGGGGAGTCCCCCCTGAAGCCTGTGCTGGGCTCTGAGCCCCGAGGCTTGGAGGCTGCAAAGTTCCCTCCCCTTGGGAGTGTGGACGGCATCCAAAAGCGGGGATCGCACACCCTGAGCGGACGAGAGGGGAAGGAGCGCCCCATGCACAGGGCAGAGGGACCCAGGGGAGCAGTGTGTCCCTGAGGAGCGGACTGCGCCTTCTTAGGAAACAAAGCCTCTAATGGCAGATGGTGCCTTCCTAGGAAACAAAGCTCCTAATGGCGGACGGCGCCTTCCTAGCAAAACAAAGCTTCTGCTGGCGGACGCGACCCGTATCTAATGCTCAGTGTGCTGACCACAGGAAGGGCTGTCCCAAGGTGTGTGGCACCTGAGTGGTAAGGGACCAGAGGACTGCGCTGAGCATCCGCACACAGGGACCCTCTGCCTCTCTGTGGGGCACTATGTTGAGCCCCAGAAAGCACTGAATCTGCATGGCGTGGGGGAGGGGAGGAGCCTTCCCACCCTGATCTCCGGGTGCTGAGAGGCTGGGATCTGTGACCAGCCCTTAGGGGCACCATGGTGGCGCATGAAGTTGCCCCAGCTTTGCTGAGACCAGCGGTGCAGGGAGCTGCATGGAGCTGACTTTGGGTCCCCTCCTGCTGGGTGACTTGGCGCACAGGCGGTGGGACCTTTCAGGGAGGAACTCTCTGCCTGTGTGCTTTGCGCGTTTTTTGATTCTGATCACTGAACTGACTCCCACCTTCCCTGCGTGCACTGTGTGGACAGACCAGTGGAGGCTGGGATTGGGGTCTGCACAGTGGACCGTCTGAGGGGCGGACCTGGTGCGACCAGCCAACCAGAGCTAGGAAGGGAGGGGCGGAGCCCACTTGCCTCTCCTGCAGCCAGGAGCACCGCCCCCAACAGGAAAGGGGCGGGTCCCACTCACTGAGGCCCCAGACACCCCCGCAGGGCACAGTCCCGAGGGGGAGAGGAGAATCGCTCACTGGAGGACATTACAAGAATAAGACTCTCAGGGGCTATTGTTTGGGAACTGGAGGAAAAGCTGAAAACCCTTGCTGGGGGCGGGGCAGGCAAAGGACTCACCAGAATGTGTTTTTAATCGAACCCACTGAGCCCAGGCTGCTGAACCAGCCAATACACAAAAGGCAACAGGCTGAAATCAATCTGAAACTGCAGCAGGACAGAGCCTGGGGAACTAGAATCAGAGAACAAGGTAGGGACTAAGGAGCCGGTGGTGGAGCAGAGACTAACTCCCACAGAATGAGTACCTGACAGCGACACCTCTAAGGGGAGTGATACCCTGAGCTACACTAGCCACCCTGCACTCTGAAGACTCTACAGAAGATTCTGGAGTAAGACCAGGCAACTACAAGGTTGCAAAATAGCTGACAAGAGGAGGTGGTCCACGGACAGCCTCAGATCAACCATCTACCTAAGGACACCAGAGCCAAACCTAGACAGCTCCTCATATTGAGTGATACACAAGTACCTCCCAGGAGAACAGAAATCACCAAACAGTGACCCGCAAACAACACAAGTGGCTCAGAAGGAAGACACCTGTTTGTCTTTTTTTTTTATTCTTCGTCTCTTTTTCCCTTAGGAAGAAGAGGAAGGGAGAAAAAATCATTTGTTTTTTCTTCTTTTTAAATTTTATAATAATTAAAAAATTTTCTTTTTAAGTTTTAATTTTTTTTTCTTATTTTATCTCTTCAAAGAATTTCATTTTGCTTAGCTTGTTTTTGGTTTTGTTTCTCTGTTTTGTTTTCTTTCTTTGCTTTGTTTTGTTTTATCCTTGCTTATAATATCAAGACTTTCTTGATATTTCTGCTTAACGGCTGGGACTTTATCATTATAACCAGCAAGTTTACTGCTTTCCTCTATAGTTTCCCCAAATCTCTTATTGGACTCCCTCCCTACCCAGGCTTTATCTCTCTCTCCTCTCAATTCTATTGGCATAACTTTTTTTTTCTTTCTTTTCTTTTTTCTCCTTCTTCTTTTCCTTTTTGCTTTTGTTTTCCTCCCTTCTGTCTTCCTGTATTTTTGTTAGATTGTTAGTTTCTCTTATTCTATTTAATGTATTTTTAGTTTTTCATTTTCAACTATTATCCTATTCCTATTCTCTCCCTTAATTGTTTGCTGGCCGCTCTTTCAGAATCTTTTCTCTGCCTCTATTATCTCCCAGTAGCTTCTCTATTTTTAACATTTTAGTTTATTATTATTTTCTAAATTTTAGTCACTATTAACAACAAAATACTTCTGTCTCTCTAAGCTTTACTTTTCTTTCTCTTTCTTTTTTTAAGCTATTTTTCTCTCTAGAACTTGTGTTCTCCCTTCACGCTCCCAGTTCTAGTTTCACTTGGGTTGTCTTCATTGTGACTGTCGAGATATTTTGTAAGATACCCCTTGTTTCCTGGAAGTTTAGTTGGGTATTGTCCTGCCTTGTCAGCACCCGTACAACAGCTTACATGACAAGGTTCGGGCTGTGACACACAGCCAATCTGAGAGGAGAGTCCTCCCAAGGACTGGTCAACAACAATCTAGACCCAACAACAACAGCAGAACCCAAAGAACACGCAAAAGGGACACCCAAAAAAGGGACACGCCTAGAGAGCAAAGAGCTCAGAAGTATAAGGAAAACACACCTCTGGGTTCCACTGGACTCACAATACAAAATCCCTCCCCACAAGACTGGGAGACAGCAAATAAATCTAATATATAGATACAAACACTAAGACCTACCAAAATGGGGAGATAAAGAAACAACCCCCAAATTAAAGAAAAGGAAACATTGCCAGAAAAAGACTTTGATGAGATGGAGTTAAGCAAGTTTTCAGAAACAGAGTTCAGAATATTGATTATACAGATGTTCGAAGAAACTAATGAGAAAAACAAGGTACTAGATGGTAAGATCGAGGAACTTAGTGAAAACGTGAAAAAAGAGATACATACCATAAACAAAACTCAGAAAGACATAAAGAATGCTATATCTGATATCAAGAATGCACTGGAAGGAATTAAAAGCAGGCTCAATGAAGTAGAGGACAGAATAAGTGACTTAGAAGACAAGGTAGAAAAAAATCACTCAATCAGAGCAGCAAAAAGAAAAACCACTTAAAAAGTATGAGGACAGTCTAAGGGAGCTTTGGGACAACATGAAGCAAAATAACATTCGCATTATAGGAATGCCAGAGGGGGAGGAAAGAGAGCAAGGGATAGAGAATTTGGTGGAGGAAATATTGAGAGGAAACTTCCCTATGTTGGCGAGGGAGAAAGCCACACAAGTTCAGGAAGCACAGAGGGTTCCAAACAAGAGGGACCCAAAGAGACCCACTCCAAGACACATCATAATTAAAATGGCAAATGTCAAGGACAAAGA